ACGAGAACGGTTTTCAAAGAGACGATGGAACCCTATTTCCGTGACACTGTTATAAAGGACGGTGCGCGGGAGTGCGAAGAAAAAGTTAATTTAGTTCAACCTGTTCATTTTCGATAGGTGTAGGTGTGTGCATGTGGGCCGACATGCGGGTAATCGTTCTACCTTTCCATTCTTTGTGGATACAAATTTTTTAGAAAATCCTCGGCTAGCTGCTCGACTCGTTTTATAATCTGCAGACGCTATAACAGGACCGCCATTATCTCTAAAGGAAGAAAAAAGGAAAGAGATGGTTAATGGTTGCAAAAAATTCATGAAGCAGGCGTGAGAGAGGAAGGAAGGAAGGAAGGAAAAGGTGAAAGAAAAGAAGCTTTACTCTTTACTTTTCTCCTCTATCATTTCTCTCCGGTGTATTTCACACCACTTTCCACCAGTCGATCAAAAATCATCAATCTCTCTTCACTTTATCTCGCAACTTCACTTTCCCGCAATCAGAAAATTACTATTTCGTTTTACTAACTTGTTTACAAGCTATCGAACGCCTCACGTGATCGATGCTAGTCACGGCGCGATTACCAGATAAGATCGATGCACGTCTTTTTCTATATGTAAATACACTTTTCTCTATAGATCATCCAACGTAACGATACTTTTCGTATAAATTTCTATACGATAGAAAGTTTCACAGACAAGCTGATCTAAACACGGCGGAAGGATAACGTACGACTTCTCTGAAATATGGATACCGTGAAGGTGCCCTAACAGAGACTCGAGCAGAGAACTGGTCACATAATCCCTTGACGGCAAACTTGTCGCATTATCCGTTGCATCACGTTCGGCAACAAGGCGTTAGTTTCCAGCCAAGGGACATTAGGTTCGAGAGACGCTAAGAGAGTTGACAACAGGCACGAATCACCTGAGAAGCTAACGAGATACAAGTTTCACTTTGAATCCTCGAAGAAATACGCCAGACAAATTACCGGACAAGATTATTTCTCTCGTTCTACCTTCTACACTTCGCCGTTGTTCTAGTACAAATGTCTTCACTTATGCAAATCTCCTTGTACCATGCGAATTGAATTAGTTGCTCGATCAAAACGAACGTTATCACCCCTTTCCGATCGGACCGTGTTTACCTTTATCGTATGTCCGCAGGTTAAATGGAAATTTATGCATCAGCACCAGCTTAGAAACAGTTTATCATTATACGAGTACGACTACGGTATGATTGATATGGAAACAGGACCGTCGACAAATGTTTTACCGCCGCTTAATTCGTACTTTTACTTTCAAATTGCAGCCGACCTCTAGTTCCAGGTTGCAGCAATGAGAGGCAGATACATCATGTCCTATCGGAGGAAGCCATCAATGGCGTAACCAGGAAGCCGTCCAAAGTTCTCTAACGATGATGTATCGAGGTTGTACGAGACCCCTAACTTGCAACCATTCCTATACACCGTAAGTTACCGTTTCTTTCGCTCTTTCTTTCTCTTATCCTTTCTTTCGCCACCCTTGCCGAGAGAAGCATTACGTCCCTTGGTATCCTTCGAGTTACCATCGATGATGACCGTGACAGATAGCCTGTCATAACTCGCCCAAGAAGAAAAACATATCTATAGTCTGACGTTTGGTGAAAAAAAAAAAATAAAGAAAGAAAGGTGGCCCGTGAATTATGTCGGTGAAATTGTGGAACGCTCGAAATTTCTTTTCGATAAGAAATCCATCGTCAGCGTGGATACTCTTCACTATGCGTTTTGTATTTCGAGTTACTTTGGCGAAATGAAACTGTGCTCGGTTAGAAATGTTAAGAGAAGCAGCGCAACGTCGAGGACACTTAACCCTTTCGTTACGGCAGATTTGAACGCGTAACGTGGGTGATTGGCGGTAAATTGTAAACCACGGCTGGAAAATTCCTTATTTTCGCTGTATCGCTCTGAAATTCGGTTTATTAAATTAAGGTGAAAGCGCGTAAAGGATGGAATTAAGTATTAAATTAAGGTGGAAGTGCACCGAAAGGCTCCAACAGTAGGGGGAGCTCCCCTAGCACCGGACGCTTAAGGTTTTTCTTAAATAAATCTCTCTACCTGTGCACACGCGACTGAAACGGCTCGGTAGCGTTTCAATTATTGCAGATACAACTAATGTCCGATATTAGGTGCCATCCGGCGTTAAGGGAACTCCCCCCTATAGTAAAATTTTCGAAACGCGTATAGGCGCCAATGGTAATGAAAGGGTTAAACTTGAAGAAAGTGACTTTTCATAGCGATAATGCTAGACTGCGTGTGACACAAAATTTGCAAAGAAAATGATGTGAATTCATTTTGGGAATTTTTATCACACACCCATCAGATTACCATCTGATTCGTGCGTTAAGACATTTTTCGGTGTGTAACAAATTTGACGATATCGACTCTGCAAGAATTTTCGTGACATTGAAAAATACAATATTTGAATGAAAACCGTAGAAATTTTATAGCGATGGCACAATGGCTTCGCCAAAAAGATGAGAAGAATTTGTGAAACGAGAGAGTGACTACATTCTTTCATAGCATTTAACCCTTTACAATCGAGTAACGACTGAGAAGCGACGTTAATTGTCACTTGGTAAATAATGAATCAAGACAGAGAGCAGATCTACGGGCCTCCATGAATCTGTTCGCCATAGTGAAATAGATAAATAAAATCGCACAGTTTATTTCTACGTTAGTTTGAAAAAATTTCAAAGAAGATCCGATTTGCAATCTTTCCTATAGCGAAATCACCTCCGAGTGCAAAGGGTTAAGGGTATATTTGTACATTTTAAGTGACCGAAACTTGGAGAGAATTGGTAAATGGTAGAATATAATGTGACTTTCGAGCCGACGCGTAAACCTCCATATAAACCATTAGCTAAGCCGGTTCGGAATGATATTTTCGGAGGGATGGAAATTTTGATGGTCCGTGGCAAAGGAGAGTTCGGGAAACTGTCAACTCAAGCC